TATATATATATATATATATATACGTGCGTGCGCGTGTGTGTAATATAGAATGCCTTGTACGAGTCTTTCTTAATTAATTCACAAATAAAAGAAGTAGATTCTCTTATTAATTTAACGATGAAGAAATCGTTCTTTCACCAAGAGCCGTGAAAAGTCAAGATTCCAATTAAAATATTATTTTCTGAAACTAATGGGTAATAATTCTTGAAAATAAACTCATTTAGGAAATCCTTAAATTTCCCTATAATCTGCATAGCATTATCTGTTAAAGCGAATCAAGATGGTTACATTTTCCCTTTTGGATGACGTTTCATTACGTTAAAGCTTTTCTTATTGTAGCCCATTCTTCTTCAAAATCCTTGAATAAAAGAAAGGACAGATCACGTGGCTTTTTCATGATGTAAGGTAACAAAACTACAGCATGAATAGCCAAACACTAAGACCCTAATTGAGGTAACCTTTTCCTTAAAGAATAATCATAAGTTGCTAAATAAAACTTTTAAGAAACCAACTTGTCCTAGGTAATTATTATTATTTTTTTTAAAAAAAAGATCTCATATATATTTAATTTTTTTGCATGTATTTAATGCAATCACAAATGGAAATTAAACAAAGCTTTATATGAAATATTCAACTTTTCAAACAAAACTGTTATAAGCAAAATAGCAGTACTTTAAAAATTTCTTTTTAATTAAAATAAAAATCTTTTATATGCAGAAATCAAAGGAAAACAGGGTTAAATATTTATTAAATAATTTAATTATAAAAAATTGAAATTGCTCGGGCCCTAAGAAAATCAAACAAACAGAAATGCTATCACTTTGCTTTTGATCGTGATCTATCGTCTTTGAAAATACCTTCTCTTTCGTGTACAAGAGTTTCATAAAATCTTTGGTACATAATAATTGTTTTTGGCATTAAAATAATTAAGCGAACGTTCATATTGTTTTAGTGCGTTACTTTCCCGAGAGTCAAAGTTATAAAATTTCAGCTGATTTTTTAACTTCGGAAAAGGAATTTTGTGCGATGTCCAGCATTGTCCATTTTTTAAACACGCATTTTAGGCAATGTCTGTTTTCTGAATTACACAATTTGAGCTGCGTAAAAATTTTTAAACTCGTATTTCATTCCTATCTCTATTTTCTTAAGCACACAGTTTGAGCAATGTCCAAAATAAAATAAAAATCAACGACCATCTTTTGAAAAATACAAACGATACTCTGGATTTAAATAGGATTAAAATGAAACATTTCAGCTGCAAAGTTTCGACTAAAATATCCGCTGCTAAAGTCCTCATGAATTTCACTGAAAACATCGGGATTTAGGGTAAAAACCTGTGGCATTCATTTTTCTGTAAATTATGAGGAACAATTCTAAAACGGAAATACAATACAAGCTGGTACCTTTTTCTTTGAGTTATTTTTCTGCACCCCTTGCGTGCATGAATAAGGAGGGGCTTATAGCAACGGTGTAATGAGGTCGTTTAAAGAACGTAAAGTGAATGTTAATCAGTAGGTAACTCAATTTAAACATTTGAACGAGCACAGGACTCAAGGGAATAGAATTTCGTTCGACAGTTAGAGGCAATTCTGAGTAATTTCAGTAAGAAAAAAGAATTTTACAAAAATTTACAGAAATATCTAGAATGAATCCACACGTCTGTATCCTAACGCATTAACGACCGATTTACATGTTGCAAGGATGTGAAAGGGCGAAGAAAAAGTTGTAATACATTAATGTTAATTTCAAGTAGTCATTTTAAAATAATCTTTTGAAGTTTTATTATGAAGTTTTATACCATGAAAGATAAAACTTTTTTTTCCTAGGAAAAATTATGTGTTTAAAATTTATTAACTTAAATTGCAATTTTGTATTACTAATATATTATTGCTAAATGATTTTTTTTTATTAAATAAAAACTAATTAAAAAATAATTGTGCTACGTGTTTGAATCTTTTTTAAAGATTAAAAACTGTCTTCAAACAATGAAGCTGACTGCTAACCAGTAGCTAATAGCATCCTTTGCAAATAGCAGTTCAATGAGTAAAAAGTGATACTACCAGCGTTTCATTTTTAGTATGCTGGGATTAATAATGGTATAGGTTGCCTAAGGAAACTTGGAGGTGTTTTTAATAATCGCCCTTAACTCTTCTCCTTATCCTTCCGTAATCAAATAGGTTTTGATGCTTACAGTTTTGCTTTCATTAAGTAAACATGTCATACTTGTTGACTTCGCCCGTTTTTGAATGGAGATTTATCTTGAAAAATTTATAGTGGTTGCCGATTTCATGTATTACAGTTTATTTTTTATTAATTTTGTTTGCATTAATTTGAATTGCTGCTATATATGAATATTAAAAGCAAATATATAAAACTCAAAAATCATGTAACAATGTTGCCTGAAAACCTGAAAGAAGACCTCAGGGCCATTGCTACTTATTTTTGTAGCGACGCATATCTCTATCTAAAATATTTAATCTTCTTTTCCCTCCAATTTGCATTCCACTTACCAGAAAGTACTACCTTAAAGTACTACTACCTAAAGTAAAGCACTACCATCAAGATGAATGGGAAAAAGGCCGTAAACGGCCTCAGGTACCTAAATAAATTTTAATGATGATGTAACAAGGTTCCCACAACCAAGAAAAAAAAACTTGCAGATAAAAATCGAAAAGACGAATTGTTTCGTTAAATTCCTATCTACCAACATAACGTATTTGGAACGCCATATGATATCTTATGATAAACATGCGTTGTTGACCTGTAACTTTATGATATCCTTCGACAATCGATTATAATTGACAAGGTATAGTTGCCTACTTTTATGATTTTCGTAGAAGATTTTTGAAAATAGTATTTGAAAAGCAGAGTAAAAGTATTAAAGCTATTAAAAAATTTTTTAATTTTTTGTATAAAGAGTTTCAAATATATTAATGTATTGTGAGTAGTTGGCTTTGGTAGAATCTTTTTCTCTCATAAATAATTAGTGACATTTCTCTTATAACTAGAATTGTAAAAGTAAATTGTGCGGACATTATGAAATACTCTAGGCATGAAAACATTCAGAAGACTAAAATCTAAGTGTAACTATTTTCAGAAATAGAGTGAAAATTGGGTTTAATGCTACTTACCGGATATTCATATTGAAATCTTCGTGGTTTCCTCTATTTAAAAAGACAGCATCAGGCCAAACAACGAAACAAGCAAGTAATATTAATAAGACTTCAACTGAGTGCGTTCCTCTGTCCACAAAATCTCCATTAAAAATATAAGGCCTATCACGAGATGGAAGACCATTCTGTAAATCATAAAGGTCAATACAAAAAACATTCTATTGCAAAAATTTATTTTAACCTTTTGCTAACGGGGCCTGATATCACCTGTTTATTCTGAACCACCAGTTGTACCAGCCGGAAGCAAAAGATTCATCATTAAGAGATTTTCGTATCAAAATTTCATACCTGCGAACTTTCACTCTTTCTGAGAATGGATTTTCTAGTGGTAGTAAAACAATTAACGAAAAACAGTATTACTCAAAAATATATTTTTATTTTGATCAGGTTGAAACTCGCTATCGTGAAGAATATTGTGCTTTTATATAGTTGTTGTAATTATTCTTTTGTGGTGGTGGCCAAACTCATCTATTACAATTCAAAAAGTTTAATGGAAAAACATGAGTTTTGCTATCACTTAAAATATGAAAATAAAATGTTCCGGGAAAACTAGAAGAGTTGGCAGCTATGAAAATTATTTCCTTATGCAGAGATGCCAACTTGCTCCGCTTAGTAATAATCTACCACTGAGGGACAGCACTGTGGTCCGTGCAAGCCGGATGCGGAAGTCGTATCGACCAGCCATTGCTGGGATTCGAACCTGGTTCACCTCTATGGAAGGCGAACGCTCTACCACGGCTCCCCCTAATTTTATTATATCGATCTATCATTCTGACAACCCCCTTTTTTAAAGTTTTAAAACAGTTCAAGCATAACCACGCTTTTATTGTAAACATGGTTACATCCAGCAATGAAATTAATCCTTTAAAGGTTAAAAAGGCAATCAATAAAATAAGATATAAAATAACCTTTTTTCTGTATTGTATTCAATGAATGCTTATATAAAAATTGTAAATATGAGTTTTAGATCAAGAATTTAGTATTAACCAGTTTTCTATCTTTGAGGCTTTTTTTCTTTCTTTTTTCCTTTATCGAGGAACGATAACATTCAATTCGCGTGACCCGAACTTTTTTTTTCTTATTTAAGCATTGAACGTCACGATATATAGCTATCTTTAAATAAGTTAAACAAAAATAAAGTACGCAAAGTTTCGCTCTTTTGTGAATTGCGGGTTTTGCGTGTGAAATAAGAAATGTACTGTGTATATTCCGGCGGAAGAATCTGTCACTTTTTTAGCTACTTAAGTTCACACTCTGCTTTATTTTCACCAACTGTTGCTTGCTAAAAGAAATGTTTCTTTTTCTTTCAGAAAGTTTATTACAGGTTGAAACAAGTAATATAAAAAAAATTAAGGTCAATTCCTAGTGAGGTCAGCAAAGAAAATTCTTATTTTATTCATTTTTTAAATTTATATCCTGCTAAATATCTAATATAAGATAAATTTTTCCTCCGTTTTGAAACTGAAATTAATTAATTAAACTTTATTAAGGAATTAATATTTGAAAAAACTGTATTAATATCAAGTATCATCCACTACAAGAATGTATTTGAACTTGAGTGGATTAATAAAAAGTATTTTATTAATGATTGAAAATTTAACAAGATATTTAAATATATACAGGGAGACTGCGAACTAACAGCAGGAATTGAAGAAAAGTATGAAAAATAAGTGAAAGCGTGTTTGTAAGTAAAACTACTTTACAATGCTCGCACTATCTTAAAGAATGATTATCACTTTCTATAAAATTTTAAAGAATGATTATCTTTTTCTGCCTTTTAAAAGTTCTTGACTTCTAGTTTTTTATATACTTATTTGAAAATATTAAGCATGGTAATGAATACAGACTTATTAAAATGCATTTTAGTTTTTACCCATAGCTTGTACAGCAGCATACCCTCCAACTGCCACGGAATTTCCGTAATTTCAAAAATCTTCTTTTCAGACGGTAGCAAAATTAATGTCTTAATATTTAAAAAAAATTAATTTTAGCGTAACTTGTTCACTATTGCTTATAAAAGTGCAGGCCATATGGCTAGATTCTTAAGTTCTGATAAAAGTTTTATGAGAGATCCATTTGCTTTAAAAATTTCTACTTTGGTTCGCTACCACTAGAAAGAAGTATTTTCAAAATCCTCATAAGTTGGAGGGTATGCAGCAGTCGAGAAAAAAAATTTCTTAGTGGTAGCATCATTACAGTGTTTTGACGTATTAAATTTTCAATTTAAAGTTTCAAAAGAATTTCAACCTACCACGACAAATCAATAATTAAAAATATGTATATATGATTTATTTGTTTTTAAATTTTTAATTAGTTTAATTTTCAGAAAATAGTTCCAACCTTATTGTTGTTTTACTACCACTTTGTAAAATCTTTTTCAGCGACAGTACAAGTTGGCAGGTATGACATCATACCTGCCATGGTAGAATGGTAGAAATCATATAAATCTCGGTGCGCTGCCGCGAAGCGGCATTAACCGATTCATCTGTAGTAGTAATTCGATGATGAGGAGTAGTGAGGTGGAATGGAGATGGGGGGAAGAGGTGGTGCTTAGCACCAAAAATCGAGAGTGTATTTCGTGTGCTAGGGCTACGTCATATCCCTAAGGAAAAAGGCAGTGATTGGGCTAAATTTAGTGTTGTCGTCAATTAATTCAATATCTAGGAGTGAGTTAAAATTGCTGGTGGTACAGGTTTTTGCTTCATCGTAGAAATTTTGGTTTAAATTTTTTATATAGACGTTGATGTCATCAATTTTAAGATCCCTTTTTATACTATTATTGCTAATGCATTTAGGGGCGCCGACGAGTCTTCTTATAATCTTCCCTTCTGCCATAGAGAGTTTATTTTTTAAGTGATCACTTAGAGTGTTAATGGCGGGGCAGGCATAAGTTAGAATTGGCCTAATTGCCATTAGATAGACAGTGCGCTTGCATTTTAAGTCTAAAGATGACTTCGAGTTTAATATGGAGTTGAGGGCCCAATAGGC